ATTTTTTGAGGTGCGAATACCTCGTCTCGGCGTCGAAGAGTGTTTTGCTAATGTAATAGATGGGAGATTGCGTACCTTTGTTTTCGTGGATCAGGACTGTGCTTACCGCTACCTCGAAGATGGCTAGATAGACGAGGAGTTGCTCCCCAGGTTCGGGTTTTGAAAGCAAGGGCGGTGATGATATGTATGCCTTCAGTTCTCGCAGAGCCTGGATGCACTCGGGAGTCCATTCAAGGTCATTATCCTTCTTGAGTACACCAAAAAATTAGTGACATTTATTCGACGACTGTGAGATGAACTTTGATAGGGCGGCGATTCGACCAGTCAGCCTTTGGACTTGCTTTTTGATGGTTAAGAGTTCCGGTATGGGCTGACCTCGATTCCTCTCTACGACACCAAAAAACCCAAAAGTTTTCCAGAGGCTACACCAAACGCACATTTCTCCGGGTTCAGTTTCATTTTGTACCGTCTGAGTATGTCGAGAGTTTCTTTCAAATGATCGATGTGATCCTCTGCCCTCTCGGACTTAACCAACATGTCGTCTATATATACCTCCATGGTCTTACTGAGCTGGTTTTTGAACATATTTGTTACCAATCTTTGATAAGTGGCCATCACGTTCTTTAGTCCAAACGGCATGACCCTATAGCAATACGTCCCTTGGTGGGTGATGAACGTGGTCTTCTCCTGATCATCTTCCTCCATAAAAATTTGGTTATAGCCTGAGTAAGCATCCAAGAAACTTAATAGTTCGTGCCTGGCTGTTGCGTCGATGAGTTGATCGATATGGGGTAATAGGAACGAATCCTTTGGACATGCTTTGTTCAAGTCTGTGAAGTCCACACACATCCACCATTTCCCATTTTTCTTTTTGACCATCACTACGTTGGCGATCCACTTGGGGTATTTCGACTCCCTGATGGAGCCATTCTCTAACAGTTTTTCCACCTCCTCGCGGACTGCATCGTTGATGGTGGAGTTGAATTTACGCCTGACCTGTCTTACTGGGGGTGGAGTGGGTCGACATTTAATTTGTGTGTGGATATTTCCTTTGGGATGCCCGACATATCTGTATGGCTGAAAGCAAACAAATATGCATTAGCTATTAAGAATTGACTGAATTTACCTGGTTCTCGGAGTTTGTAGTCGATATAGGCCTTCTTGCTATGGTCGTTGAGGTCCAATTGAATGGGGTAGAGGTCTTCTATGGTCGAACCTGCATCCTCGATCGTGTCGGGATCCATGATGATGTCCCCGGTCTCATCTTGCTTCGACCTCGACCCTGTTGATAATTATGCCTCTTTTTCTTTGTCGTTTCTCTATTGGGTGGCCATGCTGTCTAAGGCAATGTGGTAGCATTCCTGGAATGTGCGTTGTTCCCCGCGTATGTTGAATATCCCCCATGGTGTTGGGAATTTAATTACTTGGTATAGGCTAGAGGGGATGACTCTCATGGGATGTATCTATGGTCATCTCACTATGGCGTTGTACGCAATGGCCTGGTCCATGATGTGGAATATCGTCTCCGGTGTCACTCCACCGGCCAAGATGAGGAATATAATTTCCCCGAATGTCCGCTCAACTTCATTATTAAAACTGGTTAGCGTGATGCAGCGCGGCACTATCTACTCCTCGAGTCTCATTTGGGTAAGGACTCGGGGATGGAAAATGCATGCGCCACTTTCGTCGTCCACCATGACGCATTTGACATTGGTATCTAAAATGCGTAAAGTAATAACGAGGGCATCATTATGAGGGAAAGTCAAACCGTCAGCATCTGACTCGTCGAAGATGATACTTTCTTCGAGTTCGTCGTACCGTTCGCGGGTGATAGACTGCTTGAGCTTATGAGTGGTGGTGAACTTCACGTTGTTGATAGAGGTGTCATCGCCGCCACCGATGATCATGTTGATAGTACGAGCTAGTGATGGAGGCTTCGGCGGGCCTTGGAGTTCGTGTCCTCTAGCGAAGTTGTTTCTTCCCTTATTGCTTAGCAGCTCCTTGAGGTGCCATTGCCGCAACATGTTTACGACTTCTTATCTGAGGGCGATGCAGTCCTCTGTTTTGTGCCCACATTCTTAGTGGAACTCACAGAGGGCGTTGGATTTTCTGGTGTTCGGATCTAATCTCATCTTTGACGGCCACTTCACCTTCGTTTCGAGTTTCTCAAGAGTGTAGACTATTTTTGCAGCTGACACACAAAAATTGTGAGCAGATAATAAAGGGGGCATACCTTTTTTGTTCCGGTGAGTCCTTGTCATTGGCCTGGATGGGCCTTCTTCATAGGAGGGGAAATGGCGGTGACTGCCCTAATATATGGTTGATGTCGTTCCATATTAGGTCGCAGAATCGGGTGATCCCTCCTGATGTTGTCTCTTCGTTCCTTTCTGGATTCGGTTTGTACTAATACTAGCCGATGAGTCGGTCCGTTGAGGTCATCTTCATCTGCTCGGACCTCGGCGCAATAAGCATTATGGATTTCATCCCAAGTGTTTGGGGGATATTTCATCAAACGGCTTAGCAGTTTCCTAGTTTCTCTTGAACCATCCCTACTCAGTGCGTTCTGTAAGGCGACGACCGCCATACCTTCGGATACGTTCGGTAGAGTCATCCTTAATCTGTTGAACCGGGCGAGGAAGTTCCTTTCCCAAGGACTGCTTAATAGCGAATATATCATTTACTCTCGCTTTGGCCTTCTTGGCTCCGACATGGGCGATTACAAACTTACCGGCCATTTCATCGAAGTTTTCTATGGAGCGGGCTGGTAGTTGTGAATACCATGTTAATGCTCCTCCTGTAAGGGTTTCGCCAAACTTCTTCAGCAAAATAGAGGACACTTGTTCCTTGGCGGGGTCGTTGCCTTTCACGATGGTGACGTAATGACTCACATAATCCTCAAGATTGGTCGCTCTGTCGTATATCTTGAGGTAGGGTGGCATTTTGAAGGTCTTTGGTATGGCATGCGAGGTTGCGTCATCGCTGTACAACTGTTCTATGAACCTGTCGGCGTCCCTTTTTGGCAGCAACTTAGGAGCGCTCGGTATCTTGTCGATCCGTTCTTGGTATTCTTTCATCTGGTTTCGGAATGCCTTGTTTTCGTTCTCCATTTCTTCCATCCTCTTTAGAATGGCAGCGAGGCCGTTGTCGCCTGCATTGTTAGTAATATTGCGAGTTATACCTATTATTGGAGGGTTTGGTCGGTTGCACTGCTCGTCTGTTTGTTGTATCATGCAGGCTTTTACGGTTTCTGCAGCCATGCCTGGAGCGGGTTTGTTGAGGCCGCTTGCTAGTGTGTCGGTCAACCATGCTTCGAGGAGCTTCTTAGCAGCTGGGGGCGTGCGTCCCTTCTTCTGCGGACGTGGAGGCCCCTTTTCCACTGGGTTTTGTTATGCTGCAATGTAGGGGAGGCGACCTCGCTTGCATAGGGGACGCGTTGGGCGTCGTGTCCTCACATACTGTTTCACAGCTTTCATTGATGACATTCCTGAAGTTGGTTTAGAAGTCACTTGTTATTTTTGTCCTTTCTCCTTGATTACCTGCCATGTAGGGTTTTGCATGCACGAAGAAAGAAGATCTCGGGGGTTTTGACGTTAGTGACTTCCGTTAATTGTAGATCTAGAGGAAACTAAAAATTTAGCTAAGAAATCTCCACAGACGACGCCAGATTGTTTGACCAAAAATAATACTTGATTCAAATAATTAAATTTATATAAATGAGGGTTAATCTTAGCTAATAATAATATCCCTAAGGTAGAGTTCTCGGAAATGCAACAAATACTATGTAGATATATCAGGGTAACAACGGCAACATGCAATAAATATTCCAAAAATCAAAGATAATAATGTAGTATTAAATCTTAATGAATAGCAATAAATGACATTTAAGTAAATAGAATGAATGAGTCACCCAAGAAAGGATGGAATCGGTGAATGTTCTTTCTAACAATGATGAGTGATGGACAGTCCTTTGAATATTTGAGTTATTCTCATATAGTGGAAAAGTATAGACAAGAATCTTAGTGAGAAGATGATGTTTGTATATTTGCAATGAGATCTGATTCTCTTTCTCAAGTCAAAGTGTATTTTTACAAATGAATATCACATGTTCCCTATCATTGTATCTCTTTCCATTTATAGGAAACATGTTCCTAAAACCCCTAATAGAACAAGTGTAGAGAATATTCACTAGAATATTCTCTTTTGTATCCTATCTCGAAACTAGCCGTTACAGCTCTGTTAAGGGTGCTCGACCTCGGCCTCAATGACAACTCCTCGACTTCAGACTTGCTGACTCTTCGACCGCGGCCTTCGCTGATAATTAGATTATTTCGACGCGTGACATCCCAGGAATATTTTACTAATACTATTTTGACTAAAGATGGATTTTGACTCATTCACTCACGACAATTTCTAATAGTAGAAATATCTAATTTATGATAAAGTGAAGTTATTTATCACTAATAACAGCATAGTGAAATAAACCAACTATGCTATTTAGCAGCTTTATGGATGGATCCGACCGGATAGCAATTCCTCAACAGTTACAGCTTACGAAAATTCACATTAAGTTTGTATATCTTCAAAGATCAAGGAAAGTCGATCGCTTTATAACTTTTCTATAACTTGATTCGTACCATATCATACGGCACCAAATTTGATTTCATATTATTGCAAAAAGAGAAAAACGTAACTGGACTTGTAAATATAAATGTCTATAGAGCACCGTTAATAAGTAGGGTAGAATTGATGAAATTTCTCCATCTATAACTAAATATCTCGAATTTGAGTATAAAGAAACTGATACAAAAATGCTTTCTTCTTTGTTGAACCTAATCCAAAACAAATTCAAATTTATAAAACCAGTAATTTTAAACAATAAGGAAATTAAAGTAGGCTCTAAAAGAGCAAAACCAAGAGCAAACATATGGGATTCATGAAAGTATCTGTTGTCAAACGTGGCATTCCGTGGACCATAAATAGTAGGCTTCATATAGACGGGACGGAAAAGAAATAGAAACATCAAACATGGCATTTGGAATGAGCGGTCAGCTTCTTCCGCTGCTTCCCAAAGTCACTGCCAAACACAATTCGCCGACCAATGTAGCAGCTACTACTAAAGTTGAACACCACCAATCCGTAGCAACAGTACCATATTTTTGGTCCAAGGTACTCCCTTTAGCAGTTGCTGTTTCGCTGGTCACTCCCTTGTCTTCTTCGGCGATACCTTTTCTCGACTCCAAATCTTCTTCGCTCGTTCCCACAACCCCATTCTCACAATCCAAGAACTTGCCCACTGGACTCGAAAATGGGTAATTTTCTGCGCTCTCTATTTCCTCATTTTAGCTATCCTAATCAAGTTTATAATAATGTTGTTAATTATCTGTTTTGCACTTTGAGGAAAGTCAAATGGGCACTTAAATCTCTCTCATTGCAGAGTCCGAGTCGGAGTTGTTTGTGTAACTCATGGTAATTAAAGCTACTGTGTTGAATTGTACGACCATCTATCTTAAAGTTTAAATCTTTTAGGTAAGATAGTCACATTACTCACATAATTCAACATGCATATCAAAGCATACTAAGGTTCTGAGTACAGGTCTCACCTCGACCGTCTATCACAATGAATTTCCATATGCTAGTCCCACGTGAGGAGACGTGCTGGAGACAAGTAAATATAAATTTTATATTTCCTAACTGTTTAAATTTTTAGATAAGATTGTCGCACAATTCAAAATGATATTAGATAAGTTAGAGATGGTGCAGGTTTCACAATTACCACTTCATAAATAATCTCAACATGCTAGGGCGAAGAAACAGAAAATTGAAAATACAGTAAATTTTTTTTTATGCAGGGGGTTGGGGTGGGTGGTGCAGGAAAACGAAAAAACAGAAAATTGAAAATACAGTAAAAAATTTTTTTGCTTCATGGGTTGTATTTGGGCTACTTCATGTGTCAGAATGAGCTATAAAAAATAATGGGTTAACTTGGGCGCAGTCCAAATAGACCCATGAGTTAAATGTTGTAGCTCAACCCATTAATCTCTTGGCGGGTTGAATGGGTTTGGGCTCAAATTGACACTCCTATAGAAATCTGTCCCTCCTTAACAGTTCAAGTTTTTTGATGTGGTCGTTCACAATTCAATAAGGAGGCACAGCTAAGTTAATTTTGTCAACTGCTAGAGGTAAAATTTTGTCATTGTCGGCAGCTTAACACACGCATGATCCATTATTCCGTTACGTTGAAGGAGTAGAATCTATAAATGCTGAAGCCTATTGCAGGAAGATAGTCTAGTTGCGAACCTCCTCGGCTAAGAATGTTTACCAAGTATTGGTACTAGTAGTTTGTAGCAGGTACCTCATGTACTCATCCTCAAATATGCTACTGTCACAAAGTCACTTCAATAGACAAGGTATAGATTTTTTGGAATTCACCTAGTCCCTTAATGTCTATAGTGTTATTTCGTAATTCCAATTGTTATTTGAATCTGATTTTTTGTAGTTTTAGATACTGTATTAGGGACCGTCGTGTTAATTTAACTCCATAAGTAAAATATGCGATGCACTCCTTGCCTACTTGGGGATATAATTAATGTTGCTAATTTAGCTTCCAAAAGTACAACCATTCTGTTCTCTTGCATATATAGAATTGAGACAATTATCTAAAGGCAGGCTGCTGAATTAATTAAGGTTTACTTCTTCCATTGGCTTATGGTTTATGCATGTCGCCTGCTATTGCAGAAAAATCAGACCTTGCCCCTCAGTTAATCCGGGGTGTGTGTCGACAAATCCCCAGTCTTCTTCTTCTGCCTTCCCCTGGATGATTCCTCAAAATTCTACTGGCAATGCTATTACGGTAAATAAGATGTAGACTTCCGATAGTCGTTTTGATTTTGTTCGCAATTGTCTATCTGTCTGTTAAATTCTTCATCTGTACGTTGCAGCAATTGCAGGACGCCATTTTGAAGACACAGAAGAATGCAATGATTCAAGTTATTGAAGATATCCCTGATGGTAATCATACTAAAAGAAGATGCATCAAACACTGCACTTTACTCGATCGATATGCAATAGATGCCTGAAATGACTAGATAGATACAGATGAAACTGCAAAAAAGATCACAAAGTGTTCAAATGAAATCAAGATGTATTGAACATTTATTTCATCAAACATTGATTAATTAGAATTTAGGACTGAATAAGAAAAATTCCTGTTTGCTGATGATGGAAACAATTGCATGCAGGAAAATATTTGCAGGCTGAGGTAGATGGAGGATTCGGCAGAGATGTTTTAGAATTTTTGGTGAAAGGAGATTCAGTTGCCTATAGAGCAATGGCCACAAAAGTGACCTATATATACCCATTTACTACAGCATTAGGAGATTCAAAAGGACAAGAAGAAAGAATGAAAAAGATCACAGAAGAGTTGGGCTGGTATGCACCAAGTCTTGACTCAATGGATTAGAACTATGATGTATATAAATATCTACATGCATTAAGTTTTGTAGAACCACTTGTGCACAGCGTAAGTCTTAATCAAAATACTTGTTTTTTTGTCCTGATCATTCAAAAAAAATATTTCTGCTATGTATCCTGGCTGGCACTCCCCTTCGACGGGGAAACAAATTGGACAATCAAGGAGTTTCTTTCCAAGTGTTATGATTTCACTATATTGTTATGTATAGGACTACTAGCAGAGCAATAGTCCATCTTTCCCAGTGTATCAACGAGTTAGTTTCTCTAGCTAAGTTGCTCGGACTCGGTTGTAGTTATCCGATACGGATGCGGATCTAGAGGTTGAATCCTCTATGATCCAAATTTTAAGATTGGGATTATGTATCTAGCTACGGATACGGGTGCGGGGATTTGACTAAAAGTAATTCAAATATCTAAAAATAGAGTTATAAAAATGTTTAAATTATGAGACATTATGTGAAAAATTTATGTGGTACTTGTAGAGAGCAGGAAAAGGACTACAAGTTCAGTAACCATAAAAAGTGAAGAACATTATTAACATTTGAATGAAGCTAATAAGATAACAGAAAAGCATTTTCTAACAAAGATTAAGTAGTTTCTTTTTCTATCCTAATACATAGGATGCTTCTGGTGTTGGAACTCAAATTTCTTTTGTGATTATTTGACCTCTTATTGCTAAAAAATAAGCATCAAGAGGAACACAATTACACAGTTATAGCTAATGGTTTGCTGATTTTTTTTTAAAAAAAAATTTTAATTTTTTTTTTTGTTGGGAAAAGTAGTTTATGGCAGTTAGAAGATGTGGTGAAGGTTTTGATATTTTTTAAAAACTACCATCCCACATTACTTGTTGAAGTGTGTGGCCACATGAACGAGCTTGATCTTTTTTATGGGGTAACTACGTGAAAATTCATTGACTCTGCATACTCTGCTCTTATGGTTAATTGTATGATTATCTCATCTAAAAGTTCCGTAACAACCTAATAGGAGCTGATACAAGTAAAAGCCTCGCTCCAGAAGAAAAGGAAAAAAGATTACAAGTTATTCACTATGGCTTTGAAGTGGTCCAGTAATCTTACACTTAATTCATACTCGAAGAAAGGAAACCTTCTGGCAGTAGTTGCAATTTTTTTTAATGAGAAGGCGAGGCTTTGTCAACCAAAAAATATTATAGCAGTTGGTCCTGGAATTGTCATGAAACTGACTTATCATGAAAGTAACTTATTATAGCTTGAGAGATGCAAGGTGGGAATATCTTCCTTAACCTTTCCATTTCGAGCCACTCCATAACTAGCAAACTAGAATGGGGTCGAATGAAGAAAGGGATTAATGATTAGCACTCAAAACAGATTAGTGCAGCATCGCAACTTCAACGCACAACTTTTCAACATAATCATTAAGGGGTCGTTTGGTTTAACGAAACAATAATAATAACAACAATATACTTGTAATCCTTGTAATCCTATAAGCAAGGTATAAGGAGGATGGTGTGTATGCAAACCTTACGCCTACCTTGAGTAAGTAGATAAGTTGTTTTTGATAGACCATCGGCTCAAGGGAAGCAAAATAAAAGCAGTTTAAAAAGAAACACGATAACAAAGAATTTAGTTTAACAAACTAGGAGAAATAGTTCCATAACAAAATTTTGCATAAACTAATCAGCGTTAAACTGGAGATATTAGAAAAAATATTTCCGCGTAAATATTGCATTATTTAACCTATTTGCAATGATCAATGATCAAACCGAGAGATATATAGCTCTCCTGCGATTCAATGATCAAACACATATATTGCTATGTGATGTTTTCTCGCTAACAAAATTGATTTTGGCAGCAACGACCACCAAAGTTTGAAATCAACTTCTGTTAATGCTTGGGGGCTTCAAAGTTTATATTCTGCAGCTTCAGTCCCCTAGAAACTTCTGTTTTTTGGATGTGTTCATGTAAGGCCTTATGACCCACTCGGTTTGAGCTTCATCCTGATCCATCGTTCCTAGTTTTATCTACAGAAAGGAAACAAGTAACTTGATCAGACACGACAGATGGAACGCTGATCAAGACTTTCAGCAAAACCAAAAGATATCACATGATGCTAACATAGCATGAAAGCTGTACATTATGTACATTGACATTCAATAAAGAGACAGCACAAGCACTTGGAAACTTGCTATGGAAGAAAATCATGCATCTCGATGAGGACATTATGTTCGACCATGTTATACTTTAAAATGGAGAAAATGATCTATTCAGAATCAGAAACTGTCAGGCACACAAAAGTTGAACTACACTGTAACATGTAAATAGTATGAAGCGCTACTATTATCTTACATCAAATTGGATGTAAATTATAGAACTTTCAGAGATTACAGGTAGATTAACTACCATATGGAATATGTTCTACCATATTTTTGGCCTGAGTTGGGTTATGCCACAGAATATGAGACAGGCACACATTAGTTGGAGTTTGTGGAAAGTTAATACGGCCGTCAAGAAAATCTGGTTGATGATTCCTACAGCTATTTTTTGGTGTTTATGGACAAATAGGAATAGAAGATATTTTGATGGCATCTCAACTCCAAATCACTCTCTCAAGGCAAAATGGCTACTTGAACTTTTTTGCATTTTTTGGACTTTGTTAGTACTTTTGTCCTAGATTGACACTTTGTATAGGGTGCTTCTCTCTTTTGTTTTTGTCTTTTGTAACTAGGCCTTCCGTAACTATGTAAATATGCATCTTCTTGATGCTTGTTTTTAATGAAACACCTTACTTCATAAAAAAAAAAAAAACTACTACTAATATCTGGCACCAAATCAGAGAACTGCGAAAAAGAAAATATCAAACTGCTGAATATTTCACCACTTGTGTTCAGGAAGAAAGTAGGATATGGTCTTTCCTAACTTCCACCGTCCTCCACAATATCAATTTCAAGCGCGGAGTCTTTAAGACCAAAACAATGATGTTAAACAATATGACAAATTTCGCAAACAAGAGAAAAAGATAGTTTCAAGTATCTTGGGTCGATAATCTAAGGCAATGGGGAGATTGACGAGGATGTTACTCATCGCATTGGAGCGGGGTGGATGAAATGGAGGCTAGCTTCGAGGGTTTTGTGCGATAAGAATGTGCCACCTAGATTTAAGGGCAAGTTCTACTGGGCGATGGTTAGACTGACTATGTTGTATGGAGCTGAGTGTTGGCCCGTCAAGAAGTCCAATGTCCAGAAGATGAAAGTAGCTGAAATGAGGATGTTGATATGGATGTGCGAACATACAAGGAAAGACAAGATTAGGAATGACGTTATTAGGGACAAGGTGGGAGTGACCTCTACGGAGGACAAGTTGCGGGAATCGAGGTTGCGATGGTTCAGGCATGTGAAGAGGAGAGACATAGATGCCTCGGTTAGGAAGTGTGAGAGGTTGACCATGGCGGGCCTGAGGAAGGGCAAGGGTAGGCCAAAGAAGTATTGGGGAGGGATGATTAGGCAGGACATGTCATTGCTTCACCTTACTGAGGACATGACCCACTATAGCAAGGTGTGGAGGTCGAGGATTAAGGTGGTAGGTTGACAGGTAGTTGTGAGGCTTACCAATTGTACTAGTACTAAATCTGTATTCTCTTATTCCTGGTTCTTTATTACTTGTCATGCCATTCGCTTCCATTACCCTATTACATTACTGTTGCTATCGCTTGTTGCTTTATTTTTATTGTTCCTTGAGCCGAGAGTCTATCGAAAATAACATCTTTGTCTTTATAGGGTAGGGGTAAGGTTTGCGTACACACTACCCTCCCCAGACCCCACATATGGGATTAAACAGGGTTTGTTTGTTGCTGTTGTTGTTCACAAACAAGAGAAATCACAGATTAATAAACTCATGGAGACAAGGGTCCAATATCACTTACAGTCTAGTTACTTGACATCCATTATCATGATACAGATGCGAGAGCCTGCAGCATTTTTTTCTTTTTTTATCATTCCGAATTTTTCTATAAGGAATATGTAGATATGAAAAANATACCAAGCAAGGAGGAAAAGAAGAAGCTGTATATTTGGTAAATGATCAAAACTTAACCTCCTTTTCAACTATCCTCTCTGTCAATCAGAAAAGGCCCTTCTCTTTTCCCTCTAATGCTTAGGTCTATATAAAGAGTTCTTTGACAACACAAGGGATAGCCTAGTGGTAAAGACCCTCCACCTCCAACCATGAGATTGGTGGTTTGAAACAATCAAGAGCGTAAAGTGGTAAAAGCTACTGTTATATTCCTGGTTATGAAATTTAACCAGGATACGCCTTGTCATAATCCATTTGTATTGTCTATCCTTTTCTCCTTTTAACTTTTTGAGACGCAGAATTATGATGCATATCTTGGATCTTGCCACCTTTCTATTTGTTAGGATATTTCAGGCAAATCCATGTACACCACCATGACAGAACTAAACAAAGGTTAACGATTTTCTAAAAGATTCACTATGCTAAGCTTGCTAGAACAAAAGTGTAGAATCTAATGACTGAAACAACTAAAAGAGACATCCTTGAAATGATGGACTTTGAAAAAGAAATAAAATGTTACCAAAAAGAAAAAATAATAGAACATGGTCGGGTGCAATCTATTGAAACAGAAGTCAGATATATATCTACTTGTTTAAGGATAGCCAATGCCAAAGATACACTTTACAAGCTTCATTCTGCTCGTATGACACCATTAATTTTTAAGTAATTTAACTACTACAAACAAGAAACTAACCTGAATGAAATGTAGTCCGACTGATTAGCAAATGTGATAATACGTTTTGTATCAGGCTTGGGTACTGGAAACAAATGCTTTAGGATGTTAACTGTCCTCTCACCAAGCTGCATGATCAAAATACTCCTGGTTAGTATAGAACAGTATATTAGATGCTACACTAAGAATACAAAGACTCCAGACATTCATATATAATTAAAACTTCTAGGATTGGATTGTTTGCAGACATAAGCGACCAAATTAAAAACTCTTGATGTCAATATGTCACCAACTGGGAGCCATTGTGAAGCTATAAACTTTAATATGGAGATAACATCTTGTTTCTTTTGTTAATATGTTTAGCAAGTCCATTGGAAATGCATGAAAAAAATGATAGGTTTTACTCTTCATCAAAAAAGGATGTTAGGTGTAACCTTTGTTGACAATTTGTCAAAAATCAGATGTGGGTACGCCTCCGGCATGGTTCCAATAGATGTTTTGTCCTTTATATCATGTCTCGTGACCTGCATGAAAATGGTTAAATGAGGACATCATCTGCAACTCTTCACAGCCAGCATAAGACTTCTGGAACTATATAAGGGAAGAGTAAGACCACTTACCACATTGAGCAATCCAAAGTAAGCAGTTGGACCAAATGGCAGATGGCTAATGATAATACCATCAGGCACACCACGATGCTCATGGACCAAAATTACATCTGTAAAATCATGAGCTCGGCAGGTTTCAATTATTTCTGATATAACCTGCAAAAAGAGGAAAAAGAGACTAAAATGCAAACACATAATAAGTGTATAAAATAGGACTAAATACGTATGCAAGTACATAAAAGTTATGAAGTGCTTAAGCCAAATCATTTTCCCCGTTGAAAAAAGAAACGTCCAGAAGACGAAGAGTCACAGCAATTTCTTTACAAAACAAATATGTGGCATCCGTTGCCATGTGCTCTCTTCTTTTTATATTCTATTAGTAAGTGCGACTGAAATATGTCCTTGCCCTAGTGGAGTAAAATACGGGCCACTTCAATTTTTCTGAAGCAAAGACACAAAGCTGATACAGGTTACTTCAATTCCTTACATTTTATTTTCATATAATAGAATGGAGTAGAGACTATTAGAATAAAACAACACACAAAAAATAATGTCTTAGAGAGATAGTAGAGAGAGCTGCCCACCTGCCTATACTATTGGCTTGTCCCAAGAAATATTTAACCAAAGTGCCAAACCTTGTAAATTTTGTTTGTAATCAGTAAAACCTTGTGAAATAAACATGCCAATTGTAAAGTGTTCTCCAAAATGCCCCATTTTCTGCCAAGTATAACAGGAGATTGACATATAAAAAACACAGAGAGAGAGAGAGAGGATCATCATCGTTCAAACTAGCATGTAGGAGGATCGATCCAATTTCTTCCCTTTTATCTTGATGTTCCTTTATTTTTAAATAACAGGGGTATCCCACTTGCTTGTGTGCACCTCAACTAATCCACTAGATGAGTCGAATGAGTCCACTAGTCCATCAATGAAAATTCGATAGAACGCTTAAGTGAAGAAGTCATAATCCATTGAATAAGATTGGCTCAAGGTGATGCCTAACTCTATCCACCAGGGCTTACAAATGGAAAGAAATCACATAAGGTATTTTGCTGCTCTGATGGGATTTGAACCTTGATCTCTCATGCCCATTCCTTACTGCTAGCCGCTAGGCCACACCCTTGGGTGCTGATCTTCCCTATTTTATGCTCAGTAGAAGAACGGACTGACATGGAAACGGAAAGTAAAACAAGGGAGAGAAAATCAATCTCAAAACTGTAGCATATAAGATTCTGATTTGTTTTCTTCCCACCAAAGAGGAAGGACTATGTTAACAGGTTTCTCAAAAATCATAGTGATACTACATTTTATTGTAATATATAATGATATTCCCAAGTCCCAACCACATAAAGAGCCAAGGGTATAGGAAGTGAGGAACAGTATCAAAATTGAACTAGTACGCGACAGTGCAAAAACAATTAGCTTTCTTAAATACACATTATCACTAACTAAATCTTCCCAAGTACAATGGAATAAGTTTAAAGAAGGTCAAGTTTCAAGATTGAAAAGCGTCCAGTAAAGATTATTAAGCTGACTAAACCCCAGCATTAGGTTGAACATGTCCATACAGATACAAATATGTACATATACCAATAAGTCTAAACTGTAATTTACACTAAAGGAACACCTCGTCCTATTCTTAGATACAAAATAGCTCCAATTCTAAATATTATGAAACTCTTAAGCTATAATGCTCCAAAAGCCATCACTAGTTAGCTCATAATGCATTAAAGCATCAAACAA